ATGTTTAGATTTATAATATAAAATAACGTGACTATTATAACATGTTGGCAAAGGTATAATGTCCAAGCCGGCCCTGATTAGGCCTACTTCTGACTAAAGTTTAAACCCTTAAATTAAAAGTGAAGACATTAATTTTTTTTTTTTTAATTATGCATGTGCTATTTCCCGGCTGAGGAGCCATTTTTCAACCATGGTGAAAAAAAAAAAAAATGTGTTGCCATCTAGATGTGTATAAGAGACAGGGCTATGCCAGTGCTTCCTAGAAATGTGACCTAGAAGATATGCGCATAATATTCTGTAGGCTTTGTGGTACCACAGTACAACCATGATTATCTGGTAGATATATGTTGAAATCACACAGAGCCAGCAATGTTATTTACATTGTAAAATGTCCTTGAAAAATCGGATCTATGTCCTTGAAAAGTCCTTTATAATTTCTTGATTTTTTTTTTTCAAAAATGTGTACGAACCCTGTTTTTGATTGCGTGGAGGATGGTATTAAATCAAGCCCTGCATATTATGTTATTGGTAAACATGATCATGGATTTTGTTGCAACATATAAGCTCCTGCATACCTACGGTAATGTTATAAATCAACTAACCACTAAAAGTTTATACTTTCAACACAATTTAATTATCGCTTGTGATTCCAAATTTAAGAGCGATGACGACTGTGTGCTAATAATTCACTGATAGCCAGATTTAAAGGAGGATACAATTTAACAATCAAGTTAACATTACGGTATATATTTTCTCTAAAGAACTTATTAATCATATATGTCTGCCATCCAACATTAAAGGTACAACGAAAAAAAAGAAACAAAAAGATATAAAAAATTATACACTATTTGAAATTAACTTGCTCATTTTGAAGTAACATAAAAATTATCAACTTGAACATAGAAATTAGTGTATTAAAAAATGTTTACCCATAATTCTTCACGGACATTGGATGTGTTTTTATTTTATTTTTTTATATATTTTTTTATTATTTTATTTTCAAATATAAAAATCAGGTTACACATTTTTTTTTAAATTCAATAATTTATATGCTCAAGTTTAATATGTGTTATTGCAAAATTAGCCAGTTAATTTCAAAATTGTTTAATGATTTTTGTGGTCATTTTCAGGGGACAATACATCTTTAACATAATTTAATTAGTATAAATGTAAGAAAAAAATATGAGAATCCTTGTAGCTGGGCATATAACTATTAGGTTACTGCATGCCCTGTAATTTACGATAGCCAATCACAACTGAGGACAAATTCATGATGTCATACATTTTCTAGAGGCATTGTTTATGCATTGCCGCAATATTAAGGCGATTTTTTTTTTATACCTTTTTTCGTGAACTTATTTTTTAAAATTTCCTATAAAGCAAATGGTTTTGCCAAAAACATCCAGACGGAGGAGAAAATAAAAATGAAATTTTATTGTTGAATGTATAAACAGTGTAATAATAGAATGTTTTAATGCTTTTAATTTATATAATTAGGAAGAAATATATCTTATTTTGAAGATTTCAAGGCAACGTCGGGCATAATGAAAATGCAGAAAAATTTCCATTTTTTTGTAATGGCGGGTTTGCTTATTGGCCAAAAGTAAAATTTTATATTTATTCCAAATCATTATTGGTAGGAGGCGGGTGTGCTAAACAAGGTATAACAAAGTTTTGCCTTAAAATAAACAGTTTATTTATTTGTTTGTTTATTTCAATGCTTACACTCTACAAATGACAAAGAAATAGTCTAAGATAACTTGTACTGTACCAGCCTGTGTGACTGGGTTATCTTTTTGTGAGTAATTAATAAGCAATGAGTAGAGCTCCGCATAGTACTCTATAGCCAAATTATACGAAGGTTAGATTTAATGCTTGAAAACATTTTTGAATGCAATATATTTAATTTTAATTTTCCGCTAGTGTACGGTGCATCTACTAATTGCTTTATAAGTAAATTGCTGTCCTTAATGTTAGTTTAGATAACCAGCTGTTTAGCGGTCATCGGTTGCTATAGTGATATGATCAGTATACTGTTTGCGTATTTTACATTTAGCTGCGCGTATGCTGATTTATGCTCCTGCAGTATGTGTTAACTACACATCAGCAGTGCAGTACGGATACGATGAATAACTTTTGTAATTTGTATTGTGTAATGCTATTTTCAAATAATAAAAAGCATTCGAGAGAGTATACAGTCACAAACTTTTTTGTCGGTGCATACAGGTAAAAATTGTGCAATGATTTCATAGGCTAGGCTATGGCCTAGTACTGACTATTTCATTCGCTAGAATAATTGCTAATAAACATTCAGTTTTTTTTAGCTTATTAAGCCACAATCGCACTGGACTTTTTTTGGTAAAACTAACCAACACGTTGGCTAGTTTTACCATAATTAGTCCAGTGCGAACAGCACAGGAAGTTTACCTGACAGGAAACTTACCCAAGCCGCGCGGTTAATTTAACCGAGTCCCGCTTGCCCAGGAAAACTGACCAGGTTAGTTTTACCTAGCAGGAAAGTCCAATGCGAACAGCCCGAGTCGGGTAAACTTCCCAAGTCATCACAGTGAATGACCTTCCTCAGGCTGTCAGGCAATTACGCATGAGCTGTGACCTGGAATAAAACGTCACACACAAACATCTTGATTAATTTCGCGCGTGTTTGCTAGTGTCTTGATTTTGAGTAATTTTGTCATTTTTTTCACTTGTTTACTCGGTTTGTTTCAATGGCCGATTTATATGGAATGTCACGATTTAGCGCCCCCAATAGTTGAATCTGTACGAATGGTTAGTTTCACCATGGCCTGTGGTAAAACTAACCACGTCGATAAATCCCAGTGCGAACGACAGGAAGTTTACCCATTGGAATGTTACCCACAGTCTCGGTAAAAATTTTCCCTATTTTAAATCCAGTGCGATTGCGGCTTTAGAGTTCATTGATTCAAGTAATTCCTTAATTGTTCATACTTAATATTGAATTTGAAGTAACTTTCTTCGGGTTCTAATTAATCTTGTTTTATGAAAGTAATTTTCAATTACAATACAATTTTCATCGCAATGGGCGATATCTTCGCGGTGACAAAAAATAGGTATTCTTTTTGCACACGAACCTAAAAAAATCAAGCCTGGCATCCACAAATTGAAAAATTAATGCACCGTGGGGGATAAGCAAATAACATTTAGGAGTTGCAGTGATGACATCATGATTGACGTACAATAAATAATAGTTTTTTTTTATGATGTGTTTAAATAATCTTTCGTGATTGTATCGTCTTGCATCTCTTTCACACAATTATTTAACCCACAAAATTTGGAAATAATGGTCGTATTAGTAAGTTTGCTGTACATTAAGTTTATATCATTAAAAAAAAAAAAAATATTTTGTTGATGTTATTTGTGAAATTCTTATCTGCTAATGTATTTATTGGTACAGTTAAACTTGCCTAAGTCGACTGTGCCTAAGTCGAATAATTTCTAATTCAAATAATTTCTAATTCGATCTTATTTTACATGCCAAATTTTTGTGTTTTCCATTAAATAACAACCTGTTAAAGTCGAATTTTATCTAAGTCAAACAGTATTTCAATGGCATTTTGAATTGAACTGTATGAACTGTATATGGACACATTGGATACGCTTGTTAGCATGGGCTATCTGTGGTATTCTTGTTATACTGTATTCCTTATTCACATGTAACTGTGTCTTTTTAATGAAATTTTATTGACATATTGTTTTTATGATGATGTAAATTGAAACGTTTTATGTAAGATGCTACTGTAAATATATAACAAAACAAAAACAAAACATATTTTTAAAGTTAGCATTTAAATTAAGCTTGAATTTGGTTTGCTCCACCTTTCTGCATTCATTTACATTACAAACAGAAATATACTGTCATCAGTAGGTAGAACTTATAAGCAGCTAATATCTGTAGATTTCATTCTTTGCCAATACAGTATTAATAACCATATCAAGCGTGTTAATGTGTATTTGTAATTGAGTATTCACCTAAATCAGTCGTTTCCAACACTTCTTTTTATCAGGAGTTGAAATGGTGACCCCGTTTGTCGATGGCTGGGACTTCGTCCAAACACTTGGTGAAGGCGCTTATGGGGAGTAAGTATTCCACGAATAATTTGAAAATTCGTATTTGACTTAATTACATAACTCTGAAATTGCATACTGATGTGTATTACGGTTTAATATATTTAACTTGATGTTTGAAATATTCAAGGAATTTTTAGTGCGATACATTAAAAGTGTGAATAATGCTGGCAACTACAGACCTTCATTCATGTCGGTTCTTAAAGGTGCAGTACTGTGTGTGATTTATTTTTTCGTTATTTTTATATAAAGCCTTTTCAGATACAAAAGTGCTTATTTGCCAGGTCATTGTGTCCACATGCTTCATCAGCGCAGATGCAGGCAATTACCTCTATGTACTCATTTGCACTGTACTTCATTTGGATATAAGCAATGCAAATAAAATGCCTTGCTCAAGGATACAAACGAAATGCACAGGGAGAAATTCAATTTCAGACTTCAAGATTGCGCCTTATAAAGTAGAAGATTGGATTGGATTGGGAAACCAAATCGTTCCCACTCTTTCAAACAGCTTCCACAAGCCAGATAGTATCTGGAAAACCCCAGTTCAATTTAATTTAAATATTCTAACAATTTTGCTTATTTATTTACATGTTTTCAATAATCAAAAGCGACGTTACACTTTTGCAGCCTGAGAATTCAGGCATTTGACTGAAAAAAGTATCTAAGTCTTCTCAAACTTGAGAAAGTTTTAATTCTATTTTAATTCTAAACTTAAAACAAATGCAGTATATTTTAATGTATTAATTTACAATTAATTAATTAATTAATTTGTTATTTATTTATTTATTCATTTATTTATTTGTTTATTCATTTAGTTAATTTTTTTATTTATATATTTATTTATTTTATTTTTTGACGATCTATATAGATGTTTAATTAATTTCATGATTGTTATCCGATTAACACTTTGTGTTAGATAAGGGGGTGAGTTTACACCCAAATGGGTTTATACATGTATGAAGAACTACGATAGTATACTAAAATCAGGTCAATGTTATTCATTACACTGCGGTTAATATGAGTCATTTTAACCTGTTTAGTTTCGCTGAATGATTGCCGAGATTACATTCAAGACTTGAGGCAATGAATTGTTATACAGGTTGATAGCCTATGCCAACAAAAAAAAAAGAGGATGACTTATTACACGAATACGAGTATACTCGGGTCATGTTGCCTCTCAGAAGAATTAAACTATGCCGTACTTCTGTCTGTGGAGATCAGAATCAAAATTAATCTGATATAAATGATGCCGGCCAGATTGAATATCCGCGTGGATTACAGGTGTTGCGGCTATGATACTCTTAGGCTTTCTTGTCAACGCAGGCGTTTCTCTGATCATGTGATATAGGCTGAAAGAGTTCAATGTATGGAGCGCATTCACGTTTGAAGTAGAAAATAATGAAAAAGTAATGAACTGAGTCTCGTTTTTATTATGTGACACTGAGAGTTTGCATAATTTTCGTTACTCCAGTTTCTCTGATTGCAATTTTCTGAAATTTGCTGGTTAGATTTTTTTTATATGTAGATCTAGATCTTGGTTTGTTATACCCCGAAAAAAAATTTTACGCTTAATTTTAAGTATCAGTACCTGCCTTCCCTCCAGACAAACGCCCAAGGTGTAGTTAGAATGAGTAGCTTAAACCGACTTTTATAAGTGCAGTAACATCTCCCAATTACGTACCCCTCCATCCGAACCGGGTTCGTAAATGAGAAAATTCGTAATTTAGAGAGTTCAAATTTTCAGCATCACAGTGATGATGTTAGTAGGCCTAGGCCTATATGCTACAAAGTACAGGGCTAGGTAGGCCTAAGCCTTGCCATGGGAGAAAAATTTTTTCACAATATATGACTAGGATTTTACTGTTGATGACGTCATCGCCACAAATTTGGTTTGTAAACTCAAGAGTTTGTAAATAGAGGTTCATAATTGGGAGATGTTAAACTTTAAACTGTACTCTAAAAAAAATCAAATAGAGGCTTTGAATTAGGCATGCAGTGAGGAAAAATTGCCCTTTGATTGAAAAAGAAATCAGCCAAATTATGTGTTTGAACAATTATAATATTTTTTTAAGGTTTCTTTGCTGTGCTTATAAAAATGATTGGAGTGTCAAAATGGTTTGATATACATTGGTGTAGATCTATGAGGGCTTGCACATTCTACACCCCACTAAAAATCCCTTAATACAAAAGGTTTTTTACAACACGCTCCACAGCTTAATCAAGTGCCTCATTTAGCAAACAGGAAGTCATGTTTCGTGCAGGGTTTATTATATAGTAATACTTATCGCACGAGCCTCTTTTGTTTTTTAGACCATGATCATGTTCAAAATAATTTTTAAAAAAGAAAGAAAAACAGCAATTATGACATTTACTATGCCAACAACATTGGATGAAATGAAATATTAGTTGCAACTAATTGTTTACTTCCAATACCCAGCGAATCATGTGACATGACCACACTCATGGAATCCATCTGTTGCGAAAAGTGTGTTAGAATGTCAGACTTTTGAAATCGTATGCTCTAGTAAATGCAGTCATGAGGGAGTGCTTAATTACCGCTGACATTCAGATTGGAGAGTTTTAATTCCATAGATATGTTCTCCATTTTGAATGACATTTGAGGGAATAATTATATTGTTTGTATGGTAAATAATCCATCAAATAAGAAAGTATAATACATACTCCAAGTATTGAAATGCACGCAATCGTGTTGGGCTTCAATATTTTGCCATTAATTATGTCATCATCAGGAATCCATCAAAGGTGTGGAGAAAAGTTGTACACCCTGTTCATTTAGTCTAGATACGAATCTAGTTACATGGGACCTAATGTGCTTCAAGGCTTCTTGTATTTGTCGTTAACAGGTTGACTGCCAGACCGTTTTTTTTTTAGGTTCCTTCCTGTGTGCAAGAACAAGTTTACATGTATTTGTGATACACGCACAAACAATAGTGCGTCTAATAAATTGGCGGGAATTTATTTGGGGACAAGTAAACTTGTCGCCGGCACTGGAACAGCACTTTTTTACAAGTTTTCTCATCTGTTTTTTGTATGGGTTGGTTTATGTTCCAAAGGGCGGCGCCCCCCCCCCCCACACTCGTGCAATTGAGTGTACTTCCAGTAACATAATACAACAAACATATTATATGTTATTGTCTAGGTGTATCTTCCCCGAACTACTGTACAAGCCGTTTAGTCTGTGGTTCTACAATGTATAACAAAGAAGTAATAAACGCTAGAATGTTACCCCGATTTTGACGAGTATAGTCGTCCCTTGTACCCTCAGCAACACCCAGTAGGACAAGTATACACGTCTCTGGCAGCGAACATAAAAAATATCTACATTTTAAAAAATAAAAGTAGATTTAATAATTGATGTATACCTCTGTCAATTGCATTTAGTCCATGTCAATTAAAATGAATTTGTGATGGTTGAAATTGTGTCAATTGATAAATTGTTTTATAGACAGGAAACAAATGATAATTTGTATTTTATTTAGCTAAGCACGAGGGCAAATGCCAAAGAAAGAATGAACTTAATCAATCTTCAAAGTGGCAATCCCATCACAAGGTAAACATACACACAAGACTAAGTCTCATAATGTGGCTTTATGGAGTGGAGTTGTGGTCGTGAGAAAAGTCTTGTTACCATGACAAAGAATTGGAAAGCCAGCATCTTAACCACCAAGTTATTCAATTCCACTTGATAATGATAAAAGCTATTGATAATATTATTTATAGTAATAGTAATGATATGACAAAATCGAAAACAATAATAATTATTATAATTACAATAGTAAGAATGATAACAATAATAATTACCAATTATAAATAATTATTTTAATAATTTTTTGGACGTAGTATATTTTCCTGGTTTTTTCATTATTATGTGCACTATTGCATTACAGTAGAACCCCTCATTTACGTACGGCACGGGCCCAGAGCTGTTCGTAAATTCGGGTATTCGTAAAATCGGGGTTGACCCAAATTCCTATATATTTGCACTGATACTACTTACACTGGCATAAACTAGGCCTAGGCTAGGCCTACATGCTTACGTCTGAGGGGGCCTAGGCCTACAGTTGGCAGCTTCTAAGCATTCTGATCCCACTCTAGGCCCTGCACAAATTTGTTTTTATCGGACATTTTTACCTTCTAAATACCTAGATCGTGGATTTTATTCCAACACAACTTCCATAGATACTTGTTTATTATATATATTGATCATTCAATAAAACAATCAAGCACTATGTTGAATTTTAAAGCTGAAAACGATGTTTGAAAGAGAAGTAAAATTTGTCACATGCACATGTGTGAAGGCATAAAAAACTTTGAAGAGGCCCGTTAGAGTGCCTCCTTACTTGAGAATTACATACTGTAGTACTGTATAGTAGTATGGTGTGTTGTGTTGTATGCATGGTAATAACAGGTACAATTCGAGCGGGTTTTTTTTTTTAATAATCTTTCGCTTCAATTTTTATGACGTCATCACCTTTATATTACGTTCGTAAAATCGGGGGTTCGTAAATGAGGGGTTCTACTGTATATTCATTTTGAAACCACAGCAGAATTGCAGTAAATAAATGTACTGCTATAAGAAGCAACTAAATTGTATAAAGATAAAAACTAAAAAAAAAAAATAAAGTCAACTTTGGTAGCCTAACACAATTAGATCCAGACCTAATTATATTTAAACTTTCCAGCCTACGTGTAAATTGATCTTCCCATTATTATGTTCATACAACAACCAGGGACGTGCCTCTAGTTAACCTCGCCCTAGATTTTCATAGTATTATGTGCTAATTATACACGCCACTGGTGTCTGTTAAAGTGGTAATCAGGTCAGATATTAACTTGTGCTAATTCTCTTGTCAAACACATCAGTGTAGTGAGTGAGATTCCCCCTCTTCCTGAGACCAGAGAATGGAAACTTAGCTTATCACTTGCTTAGGCGAAACTTTTTTTTTATACCTTGATTAGCGAACCCACCAATGGCAAATATTGATGATTTCGAATAAAAATAAGATTTTATTTTTGGCCAATTAACGCACCCACCGCCACGAAAAAGTGGAAGTTTCAGAAAAAAATTAAGTTTTTCCTTATTTTTATACGCCCTCCGCTGCCTTGAAATCTCCAAAGATAAGATACTGTATGTATGTTTCTTCCTAATTATATAAATTTGAAGCATTAAACCATCCTATTTTACATTCACCATTAAAATTTTATTTTTTTATTTTCTCCTCCATCTGGATGTTTTGGCAAAATTATTTGCTAAATAAGAAAACAAAATTTTATATTTATTTTTATTCCGCACCTCTTCCGACAATCTTTAAAAAAATAAGTAAATAAAGAAAGTTTCATCTTACCATAGTTAACATTTTATTGAGCATGAAAAGAATTAATAATTTTAAATTTCTATTAAACATTAAATGCACAGTAATGAAAAGTGAAATCCTCTATTCATTGTATGATGTGATATATTTTTAGTCTTTAAGAATGTTATCACAGTAGACTATATATGCACATTATTTATGTTGGATAATTATCGACCTCATCAAAACATCAAATTGATGTGCGTATGTATTCGTCAAGTGTTGCTTTATAACTTAAGAAGATGTAATAACAGTAAATCGTGTTTCAGAAACCGTACATGTGCTATAAAAAGAGTCGGATTAAGTAAAGCGTGAAGTTTACTATTCACCGCTCATGTTTCGTATGTGAGGAGATGCACTCCCCGTGGAGTATCTTCTGTCGGAGAGAGCAGCATATAGCATGGTTGGTTGAAAATGTGGTAATCGCTGTTGTGTTCGATGAACCAGAAAAGCCTTTGTGTTTTTGGTTCTATCGCATGGAGCTACTAGCTCTGTTTACTTCAAGTTATAGCGCAACGTCTTGGGGACGAATTGTTTAAGTCATTGGTATTGTGTATATGCAATATGCTCTCTGTGAAACCGTAAAGGTGACATACCTGTATACACTTTTTAGAAAAGAGCATCGAATTCTCACCCAGTGTTCCACTCGATTTTCCAAAAGTGGTTGCCATGCCAATGCCAATGCCAATTTCCTCACTTTAAAGCTCTGTCTAATTTCCTTTGATAAAAACTGTAGTATACCCATGGTGTGATGTCATCATGACTATATTTAGGCATTGTCACATGTTTTTGTCAAATAGAATTTGACTGGGCTTATTATGTTATGTACAGTACTGTATATTTGCATGGACTTTGTATTGATACATTCAACGATTTATTTAAATATTATGAAAGAAGTTGGTCACACTTGAATGATCATATTTAAATGATTTATGGCTGTATTCAGTATATGAAATTTGTAATCAATAATTCAAAGTTATCATAGTTAAGTAACCATAAAGACAATAGCAGACATGCTGTAGTTCAGTAATTTTTGCAGTGGCATATCCACAAAAAAGTTTGATTCCCCCAGTCATCCCCAACCCAGTCATACCCCCATCCATTGAGAATGTTTGAAGCGAAAACATTTGTTGAAGATTAAACTATTGATTATTGTCTTATTATATTCCTCTGTTTCAATAATATGTTCTCCCTATTTTTTTACATAATTTGTTGTGCTGTTGAGCAAAAAAGTATATTTCTTGAAGTACCTTTATCTGGTATTGTCTATTAATAGAGGGCTCACTTCTCTCCAGTTCTATACAAGGTCAGTTTGTGTAAACATTGAGAATAACATCTGATTTCAAATACAGTATCTCTCTTTTCAGAGTGAAACTCGCTTTAAACCGCAGCACTCAAGAAGCCGTTGCCGTCAAGGTCATTAACCTGACAAAGTCAAAAGGAGCAGCAGATAATGTCCGTAAGGAGGTATGACTTAAAATGAACCAATCAAATTACTCCAGTGACATGACATAACTATAAAGATACATGGAAACAGGAATGGTGCGGAAATTGTGCGATATGTGTGAATTACAATGAATAATGATGAGTTCTGCTGATTGGTACCGATTTAGTGTGCCGCTGATGTCATGTTATTAACCTGGTCATTTTGTACACTTGCCCAAGATCACCATCACAACTCCTGAGGGAGTACTCATGTATTCATGTGGCATGTAATCTTCGCAACTAATTTACTCTACCAATCATCCACCATAGTTAGTTGTAAATAACAAGAGAACAAAAAACAGATATATCTTCAAACCTAAAATCATAATGCTAGAGTAGGAATCCTTTGAGAATTTGATGTTATGAGGCTCTCTTGTCAACCACTTTACTCATTATTAAAGCATTTGAAAAATATATTTCCTCTTTTAGGTTTGTATACACCGTATGTTGACGAATCCAAGGGTAATTCAATTTTACGGTCAAAGGAAAGAAACCAACGTTCAGTATTTGTTCCTCGAGTATGCGAGTGGTGGAGAACTTTTTGATAGAATCGGTAAGTATATAAAATTATAATTATTTGTACTCTTTTCAACTTTGACTTTTCATGATGTCAACATTTAAGATAAAAATTCATATCCTTTCTTTTAAATTGCTTTGGGTCCTTAGGCAGCAGGGCCCTAATACACAAGTGGGTACAGTGCGGCTCGATAGTTATTTTGTTGCGGCCCACGAAAACAAATTAAAATCTCTATGTGTGCGGCCCACCAAACATCTTTGGCTAGATAACCCCTTGTTTTGTACAGCCCAACACCAATCACCTCGAATAAGAGAGGCACTGAAGCCTCTAAAAATTGCATTAAGCGCTACAGCGCTTATTCGAGCATTTACGGAAGCGGTATATAAACAGTGCATGGTTTTTGAAAGCACACTGGAAACATGAAAGTTTGGGTTCAGCACTCGGTGTAAAATCTAAACATTCACTTTGTCCCACCGATTCACTTTTAAGCCCTCCCCTGCCCTAATGTATGTCTAGGTTTGTCTTTCCATCCAGGAATATACATGGGTTTGGTATCAGGACGTTAAATGTAGTAGTCGCTACACAATATATTGTCTATTGACTACATCAGTAGGAATATCTTCAAGGAAGCTGCGATGATTGCACAATGTGGTGGGTCGACATCTTCAGCAGCGGATAATCAATGATCCATGATACCATGGATTGGCAGTTGTGTGTTCACTCAGTTGAATTAACGTTGACACAGTATAGATCGGTTGCGCAGCAGTAGTAACATTTCAAGCACTTTTTTTTGTTTATATAAATTTCATCTTCATTCAAATGTATAAACACCAGTAACATGATGAATTGCACAAAACAATCGTACATATAAAATGCTCTACATAAACTAAGTCTCATTATAGATGAAATGCTGGCAACTATTTTACAAAAAAATATATTATATAAAAAACAATATTGAAGATACTAGTATAAGCAATTTGTATATTGGCATGACATTTTTGTTTTTTGCGCAATACAAAGGGCAACTATGTTTTCTTTAAGTTTAATTTTCATTTTGAAATTTAACCTTTTATCGATCTTAAGGGAGTTTATTCCATTGCCTTGATATGTAGTAAGAAGTATTACAAACGAGTGCAACTGTCATAGTTAACGTATATATTGCATCTTTCTTCTCAAGTTATTATGATGGTTGGGTGAAATTCTGCACAAAATTGCCTTTCAGAAAATGCACTCGAGTTCAGTGAAAAATATTATGAACTTTGTTGAACTTGAATCAACAAAATCTCTACTCTGCATAATTGCCCAATGGATTAAATTTATTATTACCTAATGTGTGGTAGCGTATTGTACTATCTATGTATGTTGTGGGACTTACATAGCACACGATATCAAAGTATCAGTGCAATCAAAATCAAATCAAATCAATTATTTTATTTTTTCATACAATGCAGTAATAAAAGGATACCGTATAATATAATTGAAACAAGTAGGTTACATGGAATCAGGCTTCTGCATGTTGAATTTTTGTTTCATCGAATACAAAGAAAAATTTATAAACAGTAAAAAAAATAATTCCAATCCAGGTTTAAATATGTTTTTATGAAATACATGACCAGACACATTACATTTGTGAAACAAATAATAATGAAAGGAAGATAGACTGAAAACAACTTATTAAGTGCACCATACAGAGACAATATCTGTGTTTTTTAAGTCATCAGACAGCTGGGTCCATAATTTTGGACCCCAAAAAGTAACTGAAAAACGTCTGATATTTGATTTGCACGGAGTATAATTGGTTATAGAAAATCACCTGTTATATTGAAATTGCAATAAAACAATATAAAAAAGAAGAAAAAAAAATAAGCAACTAAACCATGAATATATATTACCTTAAAAGACAGACGGATATCCTAAGGATCGTGATTCATTACACTGTTCTTTTGTTAGATAATTCTAATTGACAAGATATTACTCTTCATGAGTGATTGGGAGCCTTTAAAACAAAGAATTAAAATCAGTATAGTTTATAATTAATCTTGACAGCAGACAAACTTTTCCATGAAACTATAGTTTTGTTTTTGTTTTTTTTTTTTTTTTTAACTTTGATGTAAATTAATTTTGATAACCGGTTGAGGTTTGTAATAGCAATGCACTTTGCTATATTAAAATCCTGCTACCTTTCCAGTCGATTTTCTAACAGATCGCACCGTGACAAGCGTTAAAAAACCATTCTTCAAGGCGAACATCCAATCAGAGTTAATCAGCCTAATGTTAAATTGGGGAGTCTAGATGTTAAATGATGACACTCCGCATTACAACCAATGTATGGAAAAAAGACCATAGGATGTTAGTTTTGACAGGAATCACAGTGATTGCTATATGTCTCATTAACTCCATGGATTGCCTCTCTAATATTAATTATACAATGGAACGTTCCATTCTCGATCAAACATAGAACCAGGCCTGGAGAAAATGTTTTTCCTCCCACCATGAAAATTTCTCTATATAGTGCCTTCAGCATTAATTTAATACCATACAGCTCTAAATCTAATGCCTTTAAGTTCTGGGAAAGTCATGGTCACTCCAACCCCTTGTCTTTAATAGTCATGCATCTTTTCCAGACCTGTGTCAATATTTATAAAATAAAAATAAATATTAATAAGAATTAACAACAACAATAATTAGTTATATTGTAATTTTCTTCTTTTTTTTTTTTTGAAGCCAAGTAATTCATTATGTTGATTTGAACCAGATGAAATTGTTTACCATTAACGACAATGATATTTAGTGATGGAGGTGGGCTTTAGAAAATGAAGTAAGTAGAGTAAATCCTCAGTAATACCACTTAATGCAGAAAAATAAAAAGGAAATAAAATCTGGTCCCCTTGTGATTATTTTCCAGCCTTTAAATACCATGAATTGCAAAAGTAATACAGTCAAAAAAAAAAGAAGCTAAAACTAAGTATAGGTTTAAGAGGTCAAATCAAGGTCAGATTTGATATAAAATATAATACCAAAAGCCAAAGTAATGAAAAACCATGTGCTATAGAAAATGGCTAGGTATTTGATGAGATGCAAAATTGATATTGAAAGCTAAAAGGTATGAGATTCAGAAAGAAGTAAAACTAATAAATAATAGATAAGATTTTTATAGCATTCCATTTCTAAGAAATGCTCAGAGCACTTTAGAAAATTGAAAACCTGAAAATATTCCATTTAACTTTAACCATAACATATTTGTGAAAATAATCAAAGAAATAAAGGAAGAAACCGACAAACAGAAAGGAAAGCATCATTGCTCTGCAGTTTTGGAAACAATAATTTTAGGGGCTGGGAAACAAAAAGTAGTATTTATTATTTTGTCAGAATTATTGAGGCGATCAATATGAAAGCTTATTTTTTTTATTTATTTTTTTTTTTTTCGATTTTTTTTTTGTTCAGTTCAGTTTCCTTTATTCACATAAAGATCGCAGCCAAGGCTGCATTACATGATATTTACAAAAAATAAATATTAAAATATCAAAACATCAATCAAGCCCAAAACATGAAAAATGAAGATAAAGGTAAAATACATTAAATTTGAGACATCACAATTTTACGATTAAAAAACATATTATATGAACAAAAATCAAATATTTTCAAGTACCAATTATTGTATCATTATTATTGCTGTATTATTAATTGTTTTATTATTAAATGTACAAATTCAAGTAAAAAAAAATTATTACGAACAGAAGAATCGTTACTGTATAGGGAATTAATGTAAAGCATATACTAGGATTACACTTAGATTGACCACTATATAGTAATACATTATAACCCCACCTTTATGATGCCCCTATTTAAAGGGACAAGTCTTGGAGATGTCCAGTTTATTTAGGGTTACCAGTATTATTATTCTTCTAACCTTAGGCCTATTCCCAATCTAAGTGGAGTCGCCGGTGTAGTTGCCATTCTCTACATATTCCTGTTTAGCTTATGTTTGAACACCCTAGCCTTTAGTGTTCCCTTTACAATCTGTACCAGATTGCACCAGAATATGATGACCGGGTGCAAGGAAGTCTCCGGACCCACCTTGATCTGATAAGAAAGTTTTATTTTTCAGTAGTCGTTGATTCTTTACTTATTGTGTAAAGCTTTGCATTTTTAACAAGATCATTTTTCCTTGTCAATTAGCAGCATCTTTGATATTTAAAGTTCACATTCTCTTGAACCTAAATTTGATATTTTAAAAGTAGTGTCCTCATTAGTAAGCGTATTCTAGCTAAACAGAGTTAACATTTTACTGGTTTTTAATATCAGCAATTTTTCTTTAATTGAATTTTATTGATTTCATTGCTTGCTAAATGTCATCTGACATCTTGGTTTTTTTTTTCCCCTCTCTTTAATTCTGTGTCAGTGTTCAAGTTCTGAAGCATCTAACCTTTTAACAGTGTTTTTAAGCGAATTTGGCTTAACTTGGGACCCCATTTGGCAGGCTTAAATTACCGATAGTCCATTGTTCCAAGTTGGAAGAAAGAAATCAAAATTTCTTTATAACACATCACATTTTGCTGTACATGATAATACCCAGTAGTCACTGACTTCATAATTGATAATAAACTAGTAAAAACATGCAAATATTATGAATTTGCGGAAGATAGGTTGTTTTCTGGAAGATTCTTGCTTGCTTTGCAGGAGTGCGGTGTTGGTCGACTATTGACGGAGTCTATTCTTGCAATTATAGACAGCTAAGTTTTTGGTTAATAATTGACTAACACGGTTGGGTCATGTATGGTAGCCGACCTAATATATGTCGGGGTTACCACTGCCAGATTGGTACTGCTCGTGGTTATAAACAATGGGCTTGCCAAAACAACAGTAGTTTCACTTGTATTATTTAAACTTGCTTGCTTGCAATTCTTATATCATATCTTTTAACAACATTATTTTCAAGAAGTATACCAAGACAATTATAGTATCTTCAAAGATGGTAAAAAGAACAACAATAGCAAGAACTGAATTCCATGGTTTTCCTCGGACCTGCTCTATAGTGCTATGCCTAGGCCCTAATTAATTACATGTGGGAGTCCTATATAGTGCCTCGCCTTTTAATGCATTACAAACGACTACTGTTTTAAGTACTGTACCATACATTATAGTCAGTTTAGGCCCTACCTGTTATTTTGCTCTACAGCACAGCGAACGTATTGATGCTTTTATATTGTTTTAACATGCATTTTCGGTCTTATGTATTTTTTTCTAAACACAACACATTCACTGTCGTCACGATGACCCTTGATGAGGGTCGAAGACCGCGCATTCGAAAATCTGCCTACCAATTCGTTAATTTTTTTTTTTTGCTGGGGTGCGGTGGTGGTGTGCAAACACATGCTTTGTTTGGGTTGAAGTTAAATCCAACTTTACAAGACAAAATGTATGTTGTACATGTAAGTACTCTGTACATGTATGCACTTTAATAAATCAGTTTCTTAAATTATTTCAACTTTCTATCACTTGCAATCCTTCAGATTAATTAAATCCCAATTACGCTGCATCTTAAAATTTTTTGATAACAAATCTTTGTTAATTTTGGAGAGAAGATTACTGTAGCTACTGTAGGAGTCTTCCAGTACAACCTTTGAGACTGCGATGCCACAGTGGCAAATGTCATGAATGTAAATGTGTTTCCATCTCATCGCAAAGTATCTTAATATTTATCTAGACTTGACTATGATCTGACAATGTGGAAGTATTTGTAACAAATCATTGTTACTAAATGTATATGGCCATTGAATATTAACAGACTTTCACAATGATTTTTTTTTTCTGCACTATGTAAATGTTTATTTGGTAGTATCCCAATCTTAATGTTCAGGATGATCGAAGATACATTAGAATAAACTTCCCGCTTTGTATAAATGCCCCCCCCCCACCCCTTGGATCAAAGGGGTTGGGGGGCTAACTTATAAAGACCTTTATCGAATAAACTCCTCTCCCCTAAATGATTGTAAACAAATCTCATAGAAACAGCATCATTCTCAACACATTCTGTTAATGTATTCCAGCAGCATTACATTTTTCTAACCTGAATGGAATTAATAAGTCTGTATGATCATGCAATAACACATTTTAACGGTAATATTACGTTATGTGTGTTATAGTTCTACATTTACAGTGAAATTAAGAGCCGTTTACTAGAGTATACATGCATCCATTTTACACCAAAAAAAATGAACGCCTTCCCCGAATAAATGCCTGCCATGAATAAATTCCCCCCTCAAAAAAACCATCTCAACAATAATTCCCCCAGGGCGTTTATTCGAATAAATACAGTATATTGTACAAGAAATGGTTGAAAAAGTTGGGAAACCATTTGAGCATACAGGAGCTATATGGTAAATAAAAGGAGTCATTAGTATAAAATATGTATTAGCGTTGGCAAGCACCGATGCACATGACTAATACGTCGCCATTAATTGGCATATCTACTTTTTATTTCAGAGCCGGATGTTGGCATGCCGCCAAAACAAGCCCAGAACTATTTTATACAACTCATAACTGGTGTTGAGTACTTACATAAGAAAGGGGTAACACATCGAGATCTTAAACCTGAAAATCTTCTGTTAGATGAAAATGGTAAGTACAGTGTAATATAGGTTTTTTTTAAATGTTGATAGACAACAGTGCTGTAGAAGATGATGACTAGATGTTGATATAATTGGTCAAATTTAAACGTAAAATAAACAACCAAAAAGAAAACCAGACCCTTCCAACAATTCCTTATTTTGTTTTCTCTTTTCCTAAATAAAACAGCTGTACAACTACATTTTTATTGTAATTAAATTCTTTTACAGATAACTTAAAGATCTCGGACTTTGGTCTGGCAACTGTGTTCCGTCACCAGGGTAAGGAGCGGCTGTTGGGCAAGTGTTGCGGGACACCACCATATGTGGCACCCGAGGTCCTCAAGAAGAAGGAGTACCACGCTGAACCGTCTGACCTTTGGTCTTGTGGGGTTATACTGGTAGCTATGTTAGCTGGAGGTGAGGATATATATTTTGTTAATTAATATTTATTTTATTATTGTTTTTGTTATATATTATGATGCAGTGTGGTCGTGTCTGTCGGTGTCGTTACTGTTATTTAGTTTGTTTTCACTGGTAATCCGAAATGAACCTAATAAGTGATTTTAAAATTGGTACGTAATGATAATTTTAATAAAAATGTGATAATAATTATTAAAATAATAAGTATTTTTGTAATTAATATTTTGTTATTCTTTTTATTATTATTGACAAATATTATATTTTTATTTTTGATTATTTTCTATACATAAAATTGTTATTTTTGTCTCTAAAGCTGTTGTCATTACAGCTGTTATCATTTTTTTATTTATTTTTTGGTGTTTTATTTTGTTATTATTTCTTCAGTATTTTTGTTATGTTTCATTTTTTTTAAATAATTGTTGTTATAATTTAAATATTGATAATGATAATAACACCATAATAAATCATTCACACTGTGACAGTACAAATTATTTGTAACATTGTAGGATAAGAATAAACATGACCAAATGTTAATGATATTAATCATAGCAATATTATTACTAAAAATACTGTAAAATTTATGCAATGTAATTTTCAGTAGTGTGTCTTTACTACTACCATACATGAAACTATAGCAATTAATGTTGACCTAATGGAGTAACCATAATTATGCAAATTGATGTGTTATTTAAAGCATAAACATGATAAAATGTATATTAATATAATTTTTGAGCAGGTGTGTTTACTACCACCGTGAATGATGATCTACAGTATAGCAATTAATTTTGACCTACTGGCTTATGTAACCATATGCAACCATGTGTTGTTTATAGCGTGTCCAGTGGGGCTTGTGTTTATATTAGTAAACAGCATAATAATAGCAAACACTATAATGACTTCATACATCCGATAAATGTATATAGTAATATGATTTTGAGCAGTGTGTGTAAACTACCATACATCGACCTATGGCAATTAATTTTGACCTACTGGCTTAGTATCCATAATTATGCATTGATGTGTTGTTTATAGCATGTCCAATGGGGCTTGTACATGCATTATTTAAATCAGCATATTAGTCATATGTAATGCATTGCTGACAATTGTGAATATTATATATTACTTCTACTTCTTACTTCTTACATCTATTAATTCATTAAAATATGAATCATGTCTAAGATTTTTCTACTTACTTGAATATGTACTATCAAATTTGTGCTCAATCAAGTTTTTCCTTACACATACTCTTTGATCAGCTAATTAATTAATATTTATCTATTCACTTTGTATATTAGTTTTGCAAACATAACTTAATGCAACCAACTAGATTTAAACTTTAGACTAAAGAGCAAGGACCATAATCACCAAATCAATTCAGAGTTGATCTCCTTAAACTCCTGATGTTTTCATTATTGTTTTTTCGAGGTCTTATAAAAATGTTTTTTAATATTTAAAATTTGTTAATATTCCATATTTTTTTTTTTTATTACAATATATAATAGTTTTCCATAGATCTCCTATATTTTGTTTCTGATGCACCGCAACTGATTTTTCCCCCCCATAGAATTACCGTGGGATGAACCAAGCTACGATTGTAAGGAATTCTGTAACTGGTTGGACAAGCGAGTTGAGTTGACTCCGTGGCGTAAGATAGATACTATGAGTCTAGGTATGCCAATTTACCTACAGTATGTGATGAAGAATCATGTGTCATTATTACTATATTCCTCAGAATCTACCAGTATTTCAAAGTGCAGGAAGACGCTTACATGCACTTTAAAGCTGAAATGATAATAGTGGTGGTGACAATGGCGACAACATTAACAAGCAATTATTGTCAAGTTCTCAGGGTCTGCGTGGGTTGCAGTTTTTTTTTTAAATAACAGTTCCTTCGACTTCAAGTTTGTTATCAGCCCCCAAAATCATTCAACAGTAATTGTTTTATATATCAAACATCTAGTTCTAGCTTCTTTCATGTTCACCAATGCCACAAAGCAAGTTTCATACATGTTTTGTGTCTGTTGGCTGTCGCGCCATGATAAGTCGAATGTCCAAATGTGTTAATGGCAGGGTCACCACTACCTATAGCCATAGTATTGGCACTGGCATGCTCGCCTATTGGTGGAAAAAGTCTTTTTTGGATAAGGATATAAACCGTAGCCTCAGTGTACATAATTTGTTCATGTGCACTAAACGAACTCAGTACATCATTTGAGAGGAGTAAAGAGTTAGCATTGTGAACTAGATGATACACGGGAGAAGCAATGAGTAGTCCACATCGGTACATCGTGGGCGGAAGCCTTCAACTGTGAAGTTGGACCTGAATCATGAAGAAGAAGAAATCTGTGGGCTTTTAATCTGAAGTTAGTGGTTGGAATCTTGGGGGACGGGACTTCATCCACATTTTCTCTTTTCCATGGAGCATAGTCAGTCTGAATGCAAATGAGTTCATTACTTACATTACATAATACTCTTCCAAACGCATCAGTGTGTGTTCCATAATACCATTCGATCTAATGACCAAGGTAATAGCGTAAAGTACGCTATAAGACTGATGTACATGCATGTCATTTACAGTAATATTCATTATTTTTGCAGCACTTTTGAAAAAGATGTTAAGCGAGGCACCATCTAATAGATGTACATTGGCACAAATAAAGAAAGACAGATGGTACTGCAAGACGTTCAAGAGCAAAGGTCAGTGCAAAGCTAATTTGACAGTCAATATAATACATATTGAACTTTGGATTTTTGAACCGAACTTGACCTGAACCCATGACTTCTGTCTTTAGAGAATCTTCTTCTAATGTTCAACAGGATATTAAATGTCATTAATCTAAATCATATAAAGTGCGTCAGCTTCTGTAATTTTTTCTTCAATCGAAAGGTTATGTTATAAGCTTTCTTCCATTATTTTTAATAATTATGAAAGATAAGATGAAAGAAAAAGTGACAGTTGAACTTCTAAACAGGTTTATTCGTTTGGAAATGTGAAAAATATGGTAGCATTTTCCCACCATGAATAGGCATAAGGGAGCTGTCAGTTCTGTACAATTCACTTCTCGCCAACGAGGCCTTTTTTTGGTGAGCTCAGAAATACACAGTTCTGACGATGACTACGAACTACGTAGGTGACAATGTTAAACCTACTTATAAAAAATAATTGATAGCTTTCAATTTACTTTATATTATTAAATGGCAATTGATTTTTTTTTTTTTGTAATTAGGTATATCTAGGCTGCCCTCAAGTTCACCGCCGGGATCCTTTAAACGAGTTTGTTCCGGTACAGATCTCTCACCTACATCAGGTATTAACAGGTACGTAGATCTGCACATTATGTCAAGCCTATCAGTGGGCTTATTGACACTTGCAGTAAAAAGCTAGCCCTAGGATATGAACTTGAATGTCATTGCACAAAATAGCAATTGTTGGCCTCGATTTAGTGACTCTGGAGGTTAGTTTATGCATCTAATTTTCACAAGTACAAATAGGTTGAAGTGCGAGGATCAAGGCTAGCTTTGGGGGAAGCCCAGGGCTAGCCTTCTAAAGTGTGTGAGTGTACTTTGAAATATAGAGGGCGCTAGATCAAGTAGGCACATGGTTTGTACATTGTACTTTGACATGAATATAGTTGTTGAACTAACCGCTTGCATTGTTTCATACTTACAGTTAAATACAGGTCTCCCTCCAACTAAAGACCACTTCCAAAGACCAAACCAGGGTTTCCATTGTCTTTCAACATCTTCGGTTTCTAATTAGGATAATAAAGATAAAAGATCGTTGTTTATTTGGGACCACAGAAAATTGTCTTCAGTTGAAGGTGGTCTTTAATTGAAGGGCTATTTTAATTAGATAGAGACCAGGTTCAATGAGTTGGCAGTGGGCATAATTTAGCAAATATACTAGACACCAGCAATACAATATTTGTTTAATTACTATTAACTAACCATAATGTTTCAAGTATAAATTGCAGTATATTCATATGTATAGTAGTCATCCTATCTGTTTGTAAAAATATAAACATCCTATCCTTATGATTGGCTGTTTCTATGAAATAATCATATGAAACTTTGACTTTAATTCTTATATCACACTTTATATCTAGGGACGACACACCAGGTAAATACTCAAGTTCACAGCCGGTCACTTGTGCAGGGACAGGCAGCAACGGTATCGACAGCAGCAGTGTTGATGATCTGCTTTATGGCGTTAGCTTCTCCCAACCAGTTCACCTCGACGATATGCTACTGAGCAGTCAACTCCCGAGCACCCCAGGAAATTCTCAGGTTAGTAGTATGGCGGTAATAGACACAATCAGCGACGGGCAAACAGTGGTGGTGATGTGATGTGTAGTGGGTATAACTTACTGTGCGATCAGTGTGAAAGTATAGGAAACACTGTTAACGTGAGAAATAAATGGCAAAAATGGGCAATGCAATTGTTCAAAATAGTGTTTATATACTTTTTCTGTTCTCTGTACATTTAGGCTTTGGAATTTACATGATCCTTCGATGAAGCCATTTTGTTATTACGAGGCATCACTAGCACTGTCTGTTTACATTTTACACTCACTATAGGTCACGTGATCCAAGTCGCCGATTGTGTCTATTGTAATTTTTTCGTAATTCTGTAGCCCCCTTCCACAATAAATGCAGACATGCCAACCACTCCGATTTCGGCAGAGTTACTCCGTTTATTTAAGCAAAACTCTGCACTCCGATTTTAGGTCGAAAATCTCTGCTTTTTACGGATTTTGGCCAGCTGAAATAAATTGCGCATTTCCGAATAAAAATGATAATCCTATGATTTAGGAACAAGACCACTTAATTTCGTCCTGAAAACAGCGCTCTGAACTTTATACGAAATAGAAATTCGCACTCTACGGTCTACTAATTTTAAAAAAAGAACATATTTCATTGGCTAAATTGATGTCAGAGTTGCACTGCACTCTGAACTGTATAGTGCTTCGTGGTCTACTGATTTTGTAACAACAACAGTCTAGTAAAGCACGATTTCGAAAATGGGGTCCGATGAGAGCGATATGGATGTAGGCCTAGGCAATACCGAAAAACCAGTAGTAGTGTTGAGCTTACTCCAAAAAAGAAGCTAAAACACACGCAAACATGCAAGTTAATAACGGAAAGTATCCTGTCAGTTTGAAATCCAAACTACTGTAGGTGATGCCTACGGTACGCTTGTTGTGATCGGTGTGGTGTTGATTTTCTGCCTAGGGCCTAGTCTTGCACGGCGGTATTGCTGTTGTGAGTCAAAATGGTTACATTTTACAATCCGATCACATTGGCACCATGTCTTTGGAATACTCCTCTCACATTGCCAAGACTCCGCTCAGAAGTTTTTCAGACTACTCTTGTTGGCCTTGTAGGGTTGGCATGTCTGTAAATGGCGTTAAAATACATTTTTGTTAAAAACCACTGAATTTCTACAATTATTTTAAATTCTATCTTATTTATTAAGATGTGCACTGTAAAACCCTTGTTTATCTTTATATATAGACTCCATTCCAGAAACTTGTGAAGAGGATGACACGTTTCTTCACAAAGTACACCAAAGAAGAGACTATGCAAAGTTTGTTGGAGGTTCTGGAGAAACTAGGCTATCGTGGAAAACAAACGTGTCCAGTACAAGTAAGTTTGCTAATATTACAAAGAAACGTTACAAATATTATTCTTAAGCTTCTGGTTGACGCAGTTATCACTGAGTTATTATGTACTCTTAGTACTACTTATACTTCAGACATGCCAACCACTTAGATTTCGGCGGAGTTACTCCGTTTTTTTAAACAAAACTCCGCACTCCCGATTTTGGATCGAAAATCTCCGCTTTCTACGCATTTTGGCCAGCTGAAATAAATCATGCATTTGCGAAATAAAAATGATAACCCTATGATCTAGATAAGAACAAGACCACCTAATTTCGCTTTGAAAACAGCGCTCTGAACTGTATACGAAAAATTAATTTGCTCTCCACGGTCTACTGATTTCGAAAAAACAAATTTCATTGGCCAAATTGATGTCAGAGTTGCACTGCACTCTGAACTGTATAGTGCTCCGTGGTCTACTGATTTCGTAACAACAGTCTAGTAAAGCACGGTTTTGAAAATGGTGTCTGATGAGAGCAATATAGATGTAGGCCTAGGCAGTACCGAAAAACGTGTAGTAGTGTTGAGTTTCCTCCAAAAAAGAAGCTAAAACACACGCAAACATGCAAGTTAATAACGGAAAGTATCGTGTCAGTTTGGAATCAAAACTACTGTAGGTGATGCTTACGGTACGCTTGTTGTGATTGGTGTGGTGTTGATTTTCTGCCTAGGCCTAGGGCCTAGTCTTGCACAGCGGTATTGCTGTTGTGAGTCAGAACGGTTACAATTTTTTCAGAAGTTTTTCAGACTCCTCTTGTTGGCTTTGTTGGGTTGCCATGTCTGATACTGTACTTACCAGATACCACTATAAATATAGCAAAGCATTAGCAGTAAGGGTGGTTTTACACTATTAGAATTTATTTGAGCTCTGATTGATTTTGCTGAAGCGAAGAACTCTGATAGAAATGTAAATGCGTATGCGCATGAACGAACGTTTTCGATTTGCGCGAATTCGTCTTAGTGTAAAACCGGCTTAAATATTCAATCATTTTATTGCTTCAGCTGCCATCAAGGGCTATTATACTTCAAATACACATTCTAATTCTATATAATAAAGGGATTCGGTGATGGGCCTCACGTGACCACCTAACTTGGGTGTTGGATATAAACAGTCGACTGACACAGCGGTGTTTTATGTGGAGATTGGTATTGCAGCCATCTCTTGTTTGTTGCTGTAAAGATCATTATAATTCCCAGCAAACTATACCAAATTGATTGGAAATTAAACTTGAGAATCTTGCCTTAATGGTTTGCTAATGCTGTAAAGTATACTGGCCGCAAACATTGAGATTTTTCATAAAATGTTAGGCCTGCACATCTACGACATGGTTAGTTCTGCATGATGGTCTTCGACTCGCAAGCTACGCTACGATGTTAAGGCTAGCTATTGGTTTAGGAAGGATCACTTAAAGTTCAAAGCACACAATCCTTTGGGAACGCTAGGATAAGTAAATAAATTCTGTTTTGAACAACCGTATTGCCTTTCCTAGCCATTTATTTCTCACCTTAACAGTGGGCGGTTGTTTTTGGAACCATAACATTATCTTTTCCTATACTATTGCACTGTAGTATTTTTCATGTATACCCAAGTAAAGTCCCGTGACCGGCAGTAAACAAACATCGCCGAATCCCTCTTTTGAAGTAGTGTATCTCATTTCTGATTAATGTGCCACATCAAAATCAGAAATGAGAACATTTTTTAAATTGTTGAAGATGATTTAACAGGATTGAGGAGCTAAGTTCTATAAATGGCTTAGATTAAATAGAAAAAAAAACAACTTTTGAATAGAATCAAGAAGTTCTAGGACAAAAATGGTGTGAAAGCTGATTGTTGAGAATTGCTTAAAGTGATGGAGAAAATTGTCATTGGGAAGAAACGAATAGAAGAAATGGTCTGGGGATTGGGTCAATTTAAATAGTGAACATAATGTGTACTGTTTAATGACGTGATTCATCACCATCATCATCTTCTTCTCGTACTGTGTATAACCTCCATTAATAGAGTATACTAGCTCGCACAACAATCAATTGAATTGAAGCAATTTCGAAAGAGGTGAATCTGCGGCTGGAGGGAAAGGCAAACATTAATTAAAGATTTATTTTTGTTCAGTTAAAATATATTTTTGAATAGCAGTCATAAGCATTCCTTTTTGTTTTCTTTTCTCTAGGTAACAATTACAACTGAAGATAAACGAAGGAATCCATTGATCTTCAAAGCCACTTTGATAGACATGGATAGAAAGGTGCTTGTAGATTTTAGGCTCTCTAAGGTATGTTTGTAAATAAAATCCCTGAATAGTTTTTATTAATTACTAGTAATATTGCTGCTATGTAAAACCCAGATGGAATATCTCCCACACAAAGATTTTACCCAAAATTCAGAGCACTTCAAAATTAGAAATAAGACTATTTTATTTTTAGTTATTACTATAGGGTAAACAGTAAAATGAGAGTTTTAAAATGGTAAAAGAACCATTTAAATCTGACATTTCGTTATGAAGTTACAGGAGTTTAAACATACAGCTGTTTCAAAAACAATATTTGAGAAATCAGCCTTCAAAGTTTACGATTTTGGACATTTCCTAGGCAGAAACCATCACAAAATCGTAAAAAATTGCTGTTTTAGCATTGAAAATAGGGAAAATGACAGTATAGCATGATGTATAGATATATAAAGGTTAGTTTAGTGGAATAAAATAGATTTCCAAAATGTTGACATTCGACATGTTTTGGCCATTATCTCCAAAACAGGATTTGTGACGAGTAACTGGTTTGGCTTGTCATATACTGTACCAACAATGTATTACACAGTATTTATGATGTTCACATTCATAATTGTATGGCTGACTGGTCAGATTGCCCAAAAGTAATACGTTTCTATCACAGGGCTCTCCTGACAGCACATAGAGTACAAAAATACATTTAAGCACCTTTCCGCAACCTACACTATGGGTCACAACCCAATGTTTCAATGGGTCGCATAATCTCTTCAGATCGTGAAAACTCCACGTAATATGAACAAGGACAGACGAAATCAAATTACAGTAAACGAAAGTACAGTTTTACTTTTGTAATGCATTTGTTAGAGTTTTATTTCTTATTTTGTTATTTTAGTATTTATATAGCGCCTATTCTGTAGGTTACGAAGTGCTTTATATTATGTTAAATAATATACTATCAAAACGTTTGTACTTCAGGTATGACAGCTTGAAAGTGTTACTTTTGTTCCTTTTAGTGTGTTTGGCTTTCAGCTGAAAATTATAACAACAAAATATTTTTCTCTTCAAATTAATGTGTCTATGTCTTCGCATAGGCATAACCTATATTTCTTGCAGCAAATCTATGAATTTGTGTAGGTCTATAGTAAAATATCCGTAAATTATTCATTTGAAAAATCTTATTGGAACATTTGATAACTTGCGTGCTTTGTTAAATGAGTAATTCAAAGTTTTTTTTTCATTTTTGTGGGTTTTAAATTGATTGTATGGGTGATCTTTCGAGTAGGCCTATCATATAATCGATTGCCAGAAGAATCTAGTGGGTTCTTGTGATACCCATTGTGCGTATAAAACGACAGACGTGATTTATTGATTTATTAAATACCGTATTCAATCATTTTACCATGAAATTCAGGTGGGAAATTTGGCTTGCGGTTTGATGGGTCGTGTCTGAGTGCTTGACATATAATTTGGGTCGTGGGCTAAAAAGGTTGCGGAACGGGGCATTTGAGTATATTTAAATACATATAAACTAACTATCTCAATTTCATTTAAAAAGTTATTAAAATTACTTACCTACATTACATAAAATACATATACAGTTGAACTTGCCTAAGTCGAATCCAAAATTACAAATACTTTTATTTGATCTTTTTTCAGGGAGATGGACTTGAATTTAAGAGGAAATTTGTGAAGATAAAGCACAAACTCTCCAGTATTATAATGAAAGGTCCAGTACAACTCCAACGATAGCTAGTTTAATACTTTAAAAACGTTTTTGTATTTTGAAACCAAATTCTATTTATATGAAAGCTGCATTCAACTTTGTCCATATTTAGTCTACTAGCCTTGTTATTTAAGTCTACAAAAGTTATAGTGTTAAATTAGGAATACTAAAAAGTGTTGTACACACCATAGAAGGTTTGTCTATTTTCACCACTTAAAAATGGTTGTGTAATTACTTTTGCAAGTGCACCACCATGTCAAGGTTGCTTGGAGAAGCGTCATGTCCTGACTGTATTGTAATTGCTGGAGACGATTAATGCAGCGATTGCTGTTCGGGTTTCTAAACTTGTGGTTGGGAGTTCAAGCGTCATGCTGGTTTTGTTTTGGCCGCACAAGGATAGGCTATCCTTGTCCAGAACCATTGTTTATGGGGCCTAGAACTTTGGTTATAGGGCCAGTACACAATATCTAAAAATTAAAAAAAAAATAAATTAATTTTAAAAAATGTTATTGCACATGTTTGAAAGGAAAAGCCAAAAAAACTCTTGTGCATCAAAATTTTTAATTTTTTTCCCCAATGCATACTGTAGTATAGAACTTCATGATCATTCATTTTGCTTGACATCTAATATAAATGATTTTAAGGTATAAAGCTTCTATTTTAAAGACTCTAATGCATTGCAGTTAAGCATGTTTGTGTTTCTAGAATAGCGCTGTAGTTCAAGTTTAGTTATATCATTTGAATTAGTGTAAAGCAGAACTAATCAAAGTCTATAATGTGATTGTGTTGCTTTTGAATCATACAATTTTCTGTTGTCTCATGTCCCAAATACTAATGCTACTCTGCTCCGATTTTATTATTGGTCAACATTACTTGTGTTGATGCCAAAGAATATTTTCATTTACACTGAATGCCACATACAAAAATGTTGCAGGATGAGATTTTCTTGCCAATGTATTGTATTGTATGTAAATTTAGTAGAAAATATATGCATGATTTGATTGGACAGTGCCAAAATTTGGTCATACCACATGGCATTTGATTGGACAGTGTACCAAAATTACGTCCACACTCTTTGACAGAAAATAGTTGTAAACCAAATATAGTCATAATATGCCTATTTATGGTCGTGATGTGATGTCATCATGAATATACAGTATTTAGGCATGACACGTGTTTTTGTCATATCAAACTTGAGCCTGGACAGGGATTTACACGCTTTCAGATTTTTTCTCTTTCAGATTCCGCAATATCTAATCAGATTTTATCTGATAGTGTATGCTTGTTTATAGTAATATCTGATTAAACAAATTTTATTTGACAAGCCTAAACATGGTCATGATGACATCATATCATGACCATATAGGCACATCATGACTATATTATATGTATACACCAATTTTTGGTCAAATCAAATTTGGTAGCCTTGACAGGACTTTATGCCTCATTGGAGTCTGAACAGACATTTTCTGTTAAGTGTGGCAGACAAGTATCTGTTATTGCATGGCTCAACTTTACTGCCACTCGAATACAAACCTCAGGATCAGAAAAATTATGTACAAATGAATGCTTGTTAGGGCAATGAGAAGAATATTTTCATGAGTTGGGTGGAACAGTAAATTTTCTAATAAACATGTTCTCATAATCTTGGAAGCTCCGGTGAGGACAGTATAACAGAGGCAGTAGAGTACTATATATTAAAACATTGATTCCTTAGAACCATCGCATGGAACTGTCTTATGGATGGCACGGTTAAACCGACTGCATTATCCATACGATGTGTATAAAAAGTGGTAATGGCAGTAATGTACTGTCCTTGCTGAAACCCACTCAGCCGTGAAAAAAGTAGTCAATCAGTAAAAAAGCGCACAATCAGCAAAAAAGCAAACAATCACAGGGTAGCACTCTTCATTGGAGCTAAAACATTTATTATTTGTTTTATGATAGTGATACACCTAAAATATATCCTTGTTATTTCATATTTTATGAAAACAAATAGTGAGCTAAGTCGACCTTTCTTCTGAATGGAACAGTCCATGGTCTTTTAACCAATGAAATGATTGGAATTGTATTAGATTGAGATGTAAAATGGGAAAAACGATTGGAACAAAATAGCATGGATGGGACAAAATTTTCATGATGAGTGACAAAATAGTGTAGATAACCAATGTCTCATTATGCGAAATCCACCAATCAAAAGTCAAGGATTCATTTAGGTGTATAATCAAGTAATATATACAGTAATATATTATGATATTATGATAAATGAGGCAAGATTCGGTTGTGATAAGTACTGCCTTATTTTATGCTGTAGATCAAAAACATTTTCAATTCGTCCTTGTATGTGATTGAATTCTTTAATGTCTAGGGTATATCCGAAAAAAATATAGTTGTTTTTCGCTTTAGGTAATCTCTCATTTGTTAAAAGGAAATCATGATTTTGATAATAAAATTTGAGAGTTCCAATGCATCGTTTCTTAGGGTTTTTTTTGGTCGGATGTATGCATAATCTATGTCATTTGTGGACTGAAAGTATAGGTCTCCCACCAATTAATGATGCCACCGGGGCTTCCAATTGTTTTTAGCAGCTTTGGTTTCTAATTAGAATGATAATAATAAAAGACATTTGTTAATATAAGACAGCAAAAATTGGTCTTTAATTGGAGGAAGACCTGTTGTAATACAGTTCAAGGCTTACAGCGCATAATGGAAGAAAAGATCTAAGAAATAAATGGCATAACAAAAATGCAGAATTTTCGAGGGGTCAACAGTAAATAATATAATTTATTTTAAAAATAAATAAAATAGACTGGCCAACTGTTCCACCTGTAAGTATACAAACAATTTCGCATTCGTTGTATTCAAACATCTTATCGTTATTTCACCAGAACATCATTACCAGTATTGTACATTACTCACAAAAACCATGGGTGAAGTACATAGCAAAGACAAATATTTAATAAGTTGTTATTACGTAATTTCTGAGCATTAAGTGGCACGTTGTAACAGATCTAATGTAACAAATCTTATAAAAATATTAACTTATTGTATTACTGAAAAGTCGTCACCATAACAGACAAGTCGTATATATATGAACTTCGCAATGACGTTTGAAAGGTAGGATTTTTTATATTTGATTGCTAACAGTTAACAGGCAGGTATTTAACCATGTTATCGCGAGACTAGCTGTATTAAAGAACATGTGATACGCATTCTTTTAATAATAGACAACTTCGAATTAAGCGGTGGTATCAATATCATAAAATGTACTTGATTTGGTTATTAAAGATGTCCTTAGCCATAAAAATATCAATATCTGTTTCTCTATTTTAATAACATCACATTTCAAACTCAATATGCACTCATATACAAACTTATTAAAAAGCGTCAGCTGATAGCGTTTATCTTTTTGATTCTTCGAGCTGAAAATACATGTACCTTGACTCCTTGAACTGGTTGGATAATTTCACAATTTCGTTGAAATTAAATGTTCGCAAAGTAAAATATTTTTTTTTTCTCTCTCTCTAATTCTAATCGAATGTCTTGCCTCCTGCATGTGTTAACTGGAAACTGCTAATAGGTAAGTATACTGTCGGTCATGAAATCGGGGGGAAATCAATCATTCGGTTTAAAAAAATAAATGCCGGTAACTCATTTAAATTGATCAATACGTTAATTAACTTCCAATGACACGCATTAAGTGATGTCCAGACTATCAAATTTTGCTTGACGTGACAAGCCTTAATTTGGTCATGATTACGTCATATCATGGCCATATATACATAGGCACATTATGACCACAGGCACACCATGACTATATATGGGCATATATACAACATTTTTTTTTGACAAGAAAAATTGATATTTTGGGAGCACTTTAAACAAATCATTATTTGCTGATTTGCATACTGAGTAGGCCTACTACGATTTATTATTATTTTTTTTTTGTATTGATTATCAGCGAATCCATCATCTTATTACATGCAATGAATATAGAAACAGTTTGCGGTTGTTAGTTGGTAGTAGGAAAAAATAGAGGGAGGCATACATATTTGTTGTTTTAACTAAAAAAAAATCTCTCACGCAGCATATAGTAAGAGTGTCAGAGTGATATTTACTGATATACATTAATTTAATATTAATAGGCTATATATTATTTACCGTATATTATATATAAAAGTATATAAGTAAATATATATATAAATATATAAAGGTCTATAATATATATGTTATATATACAATATATATATATATACAATATATACAATATATATACTGTCTCTTATACACATCTAGATGTGTATAAGAGACAGTCCTCCGATGATCTTTAAAAAAAAAGT